AGTTAGGAGCTGGTTGAATGTTCATGGGGAATTAGGGGCGGAGGGGAGGAGTGTGCTGTCGCAGAATGGGGTGAGCGGTTGGGGTCTCATAACAACGTATGTTTAAAAAAAAAAAAATTCTGTATGGGAGACTAACTTGAAATGTAAACCTCATTTAATAACAACAATTAAAAAAAAAAACCTTTGTAGTTAAGGGTTTTATTTACAGAATAGGATATGGTAGCAAAATTTCTTACCAAAATATAGCACTTACAACTTTGTGTTCATCAAAAACCCAAATACACATGTATTAATTTGTACATTGGTAGTGAGGATTCTAGACACTACAATGAGGATTTTAAAACTTTAATTATGACCCATCATTTTCAATGTATGATATATGGCAGCACTTGACATTTTAAAACGCCAAGAATAAATAAATACATGTATGTAAATATATATTTGTTACAAAAGGTAAAAAGACAAGGCTATCTCTACAGTCTCTTATGTAATTACTAGGGTAGGGTTGGATAAGACTTTAAGGGCAATATCATTCAAGCAGTCAAGAAATGCAGGAATCTACCCTTACCAATGATTTTCAAACCCAGGAGAGGTTGGTGACAACTTAAGAATTGAGCTGTTATTTCTATTACTTAATATAACTCTGAATGTTATACCTAATGTAATAGAAAATAAATGAGGTACAAAGATTAGAAAGAAGCCCTGGTGGTGCAATCGCTAAGCGCTCAGCTGCTAACCGAACGTCAGCGGTTTGAACCCACCAGCCGCTCCACGGGAGAAAAGACCTGGTGATCTGTTCTCTTAAAGATTACAGCCAAGGAAACCCTATGGGGCAGTTCTACTTTGTCATATCAGGTTGCTAGGAGTCAGAATCGACACACTGGCACACAACAACAACAACAAAATTAGAAAACAGAAATAAAATTAAGATTTATTGAAGATAGTAAGATTTTCTTCATGGAAAACTCTAACACTCAGCTAAAATCAGGGTAAACTAATAAGAAAGTCAGGAAGCCTTCCAGTTACAACACACACACAAATATACACAAACCCACAAGTTTTATCCATCAGAAATAACTATTCATACACTGATTAATTTATTTATCCAGCAAGATATTGGGAATTAGCCAGAAGCAAGGGGGAAAAAAATCTCTTATAATTATGAAGTTTGTATTCCATTGGAAAAGGAGGGAAAAGGAAAAGCAAGTAAGAAAAAAATATAATACTATATAATCATTTAGAAAATATTACCAAAAAGAACTCTCAGTATCCACTTACTAAAAATCAGTATTTTAGGCTTTGATTTTTATGGAATTAACTTTAGAATGTGAACATTAAACATTCTTGTCAGTTTATGACTTTTTAAGTAATTAAGTAAATTAAGACTTTTAGAGACTTTTTAAAAATCAGAAATGAGTGCTGGATTTTATCTATTGTTTTTTGCACCTAAATTTCACTTTAAGACTGAGTTCAAAAGAAAATAAACAGAATTGTAAAAGGAACCATGACTTCTATTCATTTATGTTTACTCCTTAATTATCCATTATTGCAAACTTGTT